ACTGTCAAACTTGACTACCTATTTTGATGTTGAATTTGTTTTTACCCTTTATTGAAGCCTTGTTCTCTAACCTTCCACACTTGTATTGGGTGCTGAAGAAAGATTTTTTTTTACTTACTGTGTGCTCTTCGTTCCATTTAATTCCTTCAGCTGCTAAATTCTCCTCCGGTTTTATTTATACTTCATGAATTTGAACAGATCTGCAATTTCTCATTGTTCACTGATGCCAGTTGAAAAATGCTCCCAGGCTGTTTTTATAGGGGTAACTGTCATGTTTATACTGCGTTTCAAGAAACGTCCATCTTTTTAATTTGCTTGTCTAAATGCATTTAATTTTTAAGAGAGCAGTTGTAAAGTTGTGAACTTGACATCTTTACACTTGAATGTGCATAATTACACAGTGCTCTTTTTCCTGTGCCGATTTTATTCTGGGCTGTGTATGTATCAGAAGCATAATTTACCACCTCTGGCGAGAATAAAGGCACCTTTGCTATCTTCCCCTTTCCTTTGCTTCAAGCTGTTACTACAAGTCTGGTCATGTCCCCAGGGAGAGGGGGAATGATGTTTTTGCTCCGCAAAGCCCGTTTCTCAAGAGGACCTCAGTAGGCACATGGATCCTATTTACCTTGTAATCGGTCGCTGGCTGGCTGGCTGGCGGGTACAGCTGTTTCAACTTATACCCCAGACCGTTGCTATGGAGATGGTTGAGTAGAAGTAGGTCATGTAAAAGTTCTTTTTCCCCTGGATATAGGGACTGCTGTAACTCTGGAAGTTGTCCCAGTTGAGCAGAAAACGTGTAGGTGGACAGATAAACATTTATCTGTTTAGCACGAGGTTTATCATAGATGCCAAGCCACTCGTGTTGTTGTTTCTGCTGTGTAAACAACACACCTGAAGACTATTCCTGTTAAAGAAAAGAAATTAGGCTGGGCATGGTGGCTCATATCTGTAATCCCAGCACTTTGGGAGGCTGAGGGAAGGGGCATGGATTGCTTGAGGCCAGGAGTTGGAGACTGGCCTGGGCAACATAGCCAGACCTCTCCCTCATCTTCACCAAAAACTTTAAAAAAAATTAGCCGGGCATGGTGGTGCATACCTGTAGTGCCAGCTATTTGGGAGGCTGAGATGGGAGGATCACTTGCGCTCAGGAGTTCGAGGCTGCAGAGACCTATGATCAGGCTGTTGCACTCCAGCGTGGGCAGCAGAGTGAGATTCTGTCTCCAAAAAAGAAAGAAAGAAAAGGATAGAAAAAGAAAATTAGAGCATTCATAATTTACAGTATAACTTTGATAAAATGGCTAATGTAAAAATTTATTTCATAAGTTTCTAAATGTAGTAGAATATCATTTATTTTCAAGACAGAATTGGTTCAAGAACAAGTTTTTTGTTTGTTTGTTTTAATGTTAGGTAAAAAACAGTGACATTTGGAAAAGAAAGGCATGCAGAGACTTTGGGATTTGCCATGAATTTGGCCAGAAAATATCTTGGCTTTCCCAGGGCAACTTGGCTAGGAAGAATGGGGCCCTACCTCTGGTTTCACCAGTCCCCAATTGTGTGTTGACTTTGATTACTTCCTAATTCATATGTCAGGTGGGCAAGTGGTTCCTGACTCTGCATCTGACCGTTACCGTGGTGACTTACAGTCTGCCTCACAGATGACAGGCTCGTAGTTTGGTTCCTTATGGGCACCGACACTTTGTCTAGTTTGAGGGGTTCAGGAATGTGGACCCCCCTTGCATTTGATTTACCCATCACACCCTCTCCCTGTCCTACCCTCATGGTGCTTCTTGCCCTAGGGAGCGGGTTGGTTTATGTGTAGATGGTTCTCACGTCATGACTGTGGTGGAAAATGAAAACTGCATAATCTTCAGACTTCTTTGGAAGTGACACATGCTCTAAGGCTTCCTTCACCTCTTATGGCCTGGGCACTTTTCTCAGCCTCTGTCAGTATTCTGAAAAGGATGAACTGGCAGTGGATGGGGCTCAGTGGGTATTATGTCTAGATATATGATAGTTGTATCTTTGCATACTTGCTTCAAGTCTTATTAATTTGGACTAAAAATCTGGGTTGTGGCCCGTGGTCAGGGACAGTTTTATCATGGTGTCCCCTGCCCCCACGCTCCAGCCAGAGCACCTTCTTTTTCTGTTACGCTGTGCACATTGACGTTGGTGATCATCATATAGCTCCATGACTAAGTGTTGTACGCTATTGGTCTGTTTTTGGTGGGTTGCTAGGGTAATGGGAAAGATTTCAGAAAAGAGAGATACTGGGAGAAATGAAAAGCAGATATCTAGGATGAGAGAGAGACAGAGAGAGAGAATATGGAATATGTGTGGTGGGGAGGAAATGGAATCAGAAACTGTAACTCTGTGTGTAAGGTGATACCTTGACCCACCAATTTTATTTTTATTTTATTTATTTATTTATTTAATTTTTGAGACAGAGTCTCACTTTGTTGCCCAGGCTACAATGAGTGCCGTGGCGTCAGCCTAGCTCACAGCAACCTCAGACTCCTGGGCTCAAGCGATCCTCCTGCCTCAGCCTCCCAAGTAGCTGGGACTACAGGCATGTGCCACCATGCCCGGCTAATTTTTTCTATATATATTAGTTGGCCAATTAATTTCTTTGTATTTATAGTAGAGACAGGGTCTCACTCTTGCTCAGGCTGGTGTTGAACTCCTTACCTCAAGCAATCCGCCCGCTTCAGCCTCCCAAAGTGCTAGGATGACAGGCATGAGCCACTGCACCCGGCCAACCCACCAATTTTAATTTGAGACACTTTTGCAGGACAGTGAGGAGGTAACTAGTTTCATACTTTGTACCCCCTTACTTTTTGCTATTAAAGAATTATTATATGTAAAATAAATAATTTTAGAAGTATTAATATACCAACTACCTTAAGTCATACTCTATAGATTTCTTCTAGGAATTGGGCTTAGGGCCTGGTATATAGTGGGTAAATGTTTGTAACCAGATTGAATCGAGGGGAAAAGGAGAGGAAAAGAGTGTGGATGGAGAGGTCACTGGAGCAGCTGCCCAAGGGGCTTCTGTACTCTTAGGGAAGATCCCCTTTGAAGAAGGGGTGGGAAACCTTGGGGGGAGTAGGGGGTGGTTCTGCCACTAAGGCGTATGTTTGGCCGTCTCTACTAAAGCGGTACATGCAGATACCCCATGACCCAGCAGTTCCACTCCACGGTGTACAAGCAACAGAAACGCATATGTGTATTTGCCAAAGGCCACAGACTCTTTAAGAATATCCACAGAAGCAGCACTCTTCATAATAGCACCAAACTGGAAACTGCCCACGTGCCTGTAGTAAGAAGAATGGATAAACAAATAGTGGGGTTTTTAAATTTTTCTTTCTAAAAAAATTGCTAATGATAGAATATTTCAAAACACAAAAGGGTACCACAAGAAAAAAAAGTCATTCTAGTATCTACCAGCCAGATTTAACAAAGGTTAACATATTGCCATATTTTGCTTTTTTTTTAGCATTTTTATTTTTAATTTAAGAACCAGGACCTTCTCGTGGTGGTGCTCAGTGTTGGAGTTCTGCGGTGCCACAAATGAAATAGAAGGAAACCATCCCTTTCTACTCTCCTGCTCTCTGTGAGACAAAACACCTTGCTGCATTGTTGTTAAAGGACATAATAGCTTTTTGGTTGAAATATTAAAAAATTGGCTTTTTAAATCGAATCGCGATGGAGATACTGTGAATGCCTTGATTGTGTTGATGTGAACGAAGAATGAGCAAGAATGGGGTTGGGTGTTTCCTGTGATTGCTGTAATATGCATTAGCAGGGACCCATCCTCCCTTCCCTTCCACTCAGCCAAGCCCATCGGGTGCAAATGATGGAGAGAAACAGCGTTGTGGGGATGAACTTGAGTCTGCTCTAATTTGTACCAGAAGAATCCTTTGCAAACTTCTGTTCTTTAGCTAGTATTAGCAACAGTGATGATTATTGTTGTTTTGTTTTATTTTGTTTTTTTTACAGACTAACTTCTATCTCATTGTATAATAATAATCATTATTAAATGATTATTTTTTGTGGCTGTCCTCATGACTGATTGTCATGGGGCCGCGGTGAGACTGGTTCCCTTCGCTGACTGCTTGCTAAGTCATTGGCCTTAGTTGCTAAAGGCGTAGTCATAAACCCTGCGTGTATGTTGTATTTCCTCCTTGTGGTAGCCCGAGCTTGTAGGTGCTGTTACTGTCCAATCTACAAATGAGAACACAGGCTTGGAGAGGTTGGATAAGTTGCCAAGGGTCACACCGTGAACGGCAGAGCCGTGATTCAAATCTCATTTTGCCTGGCTCCAAAGCCTATGTTGTTAACCAAACCATTCACTTAAAAGAGGACCACTTGCTGTTGCTATTTTAGGTAACAGAACCGTAAAGCAGGAGTGAAAGCCCTAGTAACTGTTCGCTGAGCGCTTTCCAGTTTTATCTGATTTGACCTCTGTATTCTTAGTTAGCAGGTGAATCTGCTCCGTGCCCTAGATGAGGACCCTGAAGGGACAAACAGGTAGTGAGCTTGCCCAGGGCTGGAAACTGAACCCGGATCTTTGGAAAACACGCCCCAGCTTTGTCTGCGTGCTCCAGCTTGATCTCTGACCACCTTGGTCAACCTTCCTCTCTGTGCTTCATTCCAAGGTTAACTTTGTTTCCCTACGTTTTAAATAGCAGCGCCACCTGTCTCACTTGTTAGAGATGCCAGAGGATTGGGTGGCAGTGCATCTTTTTAGAACCCTTGGAGCTACACACCATATAAATACGTATTTATTTGCTCACTGTGGTACTTTATGGTATGAAATAATGCCTTTTTTGGTTAAAGATTTGTATGTACATCTTTAGTTTTGATGTTTTAGTGAAGGTACCTGTTTGGTAACCCAAATGCAGTTGCAGGCAGCGAGTGAGATCTTTGCCGCACGTGCTGAGTCAGTAGTGTTTGCCTGGAGTCATCGTAGCTAACGTCGGCCTGTTCTGGGTTGCTTTGAGGTTGCAGCTGCGCCCTGGTGGTTACCTGTGAAAGGTGCTGACTGGAGACACCCAGAAGGGCCGGACTCCACTGTTCTACACAGGTGAGGCTGCTTGCCCTTTCCCCTGTTGACAAGTTTCATTCCCAGATTCCCTGTGCTCTTGGAAAAAGAACTCAGTGGCCATCTTCAGCTGTAAAACGGTGAGAATGACAAGCTCTAATTGATTGGCGTGAAAATGAAACGGCAGGAAATTATGGATGTAAAGACCTAAACACTGCGCCTCACTCCTAGAAGGCTCTTAATTTTAAATGGCTTCTTTCCTCCTCATTTGGCCTGTCAAAGAGTGGCCTTTTTTTTTTTTTTGAGACAGAGTCTCACTCTGTTGCCCAGGCTAGAGTGAGTGCCGTGGCATCAGCCTCACTCACAGCAACCTCCAACTCCTAGGCTCAAGCGATCCTCCTGCCTCAGCCTCCCGAGTAGCTGGGACTACAGGCATGCGCCGCCATGCCTGGCTAATTTTTTCTATATATATTAGTTGTCCAATTAATTTCTTTCTATTTTTAGTAGAGACAGGGTCTTGCTCTTGCTAAGCTGGTTTCGAACTCCTGACCTTGAGCGATCCTCCCGCCTCAGCTCCCAGAGTGCTAGGATTATAGGCATGAGCCACCGCGCCCGCCCAAAGAGTTGCCTTGTACAGATTTTTCTCCCCCTTTGACAGGCCTATTTCAAATCTCCTGACATGTTTAATCTTTACAATCTGTCCGTCTATTCTCTCTTACAAGTGGGTAATTATGAGCATGAAGACATCTGTCCTAGTGGGTAAGTAGTTGTGCCCTGCCAGGTTGCCACTGTAGAAGCCCAGGCCTTTGGTATGGGGTTCGTGTGATCTTTAGTCCTGGACTGACATACATCGAAGCCACCACCTGACTGAGTGGCAAGTCGGTCAGCCGGTCTCCAGGGTGGCTAGGAAATAATTATCTCCAGCAAAAATAGAGCAGCACTTTAAACCCTGGAGATGGAGAAAAGTTGGGGTTAGGACTCAGTATCTCAATAGCCCAAGAAAACTGCTCTCCTAACCTAATTTTTCAGATGCAGTTTTTAAGTCTCTATTTTTCACAACATTCCTTGTTATTGCCCTTATTGCCAGGGAGCTGGGACGTACAGGAAGTTCAGGTTTAGCGAAATGGCCCCTTGACAAATGTCAGAAATCTTTCAAAGCCCAAGTTGGCAGCCTCTTCGCTGGAATCAGGCTTCGAGATACAAAGTCATCGGATTCTTGGGCACTTCAGGCAGACTAGACCTCTCAGCTCCCAATTCATATCTTCTTTCCTGAATTTAATGGTAGAGGAAAAGCTAAGTGAGGAAGGAAAACTCAAAACGGAATGTTATTTATTTGTTCAGTAAACACCAACTGAGTCAATCTTCTGAAAAAAAGTCTGTCTCTTATTAGTGCTGGAAACAGTGACTGGCACATGGTGGGTGCTCGGTAGACGTGTGTTGAAAGGATAAATGAAAGTCCTGGTGTAATTACTATAGGGAAGCCACAGGTACATAAGGAATGGACTAGTAGTCCACTTTAAAAAAAATAAGCAGGGAATTTAATCATGAGTGTGTGTATCCCCTTGTTCTCAGTGTTCTTCCCAGCCTTGCCCACCCGTCTATATCATCAGGAAAAAGAAAGAGACTGGCTTGGGATCTGCTCGACAGAGGCGAACATTGCTGGGCAAATATTGCTGTAGTGGGAAAGTAGAAAGACACAACGTTTAACGCCAAGTGTCACATGTTGGGTTGTCTGGAAACAGGCTTGTAGCATGTTTGTTAGGTACGTGCACATGTGGAAGGGAGCGACTGGAAGCAGGACTGGGCAGAGGGAGAAGGCAGGACCACAGTGCAGGCCCAAGAAAGTTCCAGCCAGCGCAGGGGCCCCTGGAGTGTGTGTGAGCCGCAGTGAGCTGGAATGGCAGGACCTTCATGCCCCTGCTGTGTTCGGTCACGGGTGGCTCTGAGGTGGCTCTTGAAACCATGCCAAACCCCGAAGGAGCTGGAAGCTTCTGCTGACGGCACTGTAGCAGCTGGAGCGTCTCCGTGTTGGCCATGCCAGCCAACAAAGCTCTGTCGGAATCAACCCTGCAAGGCGAAGAAAGGTTTCGGGTCTAGCTCCTAGGGGAACCGCAACCCGTTCGGGGGCCGTCAGCAACCCTTGGTGTGGAGGGTGACAAATGTGGCATGGCTGGGGCTCGAATTTGGGACCAGGACCGCCTTGGCATTGCAGGTTGAACTGCTGAGGATGGTGGTGGGCACTTTGCTGAAGCCACTTCCTGTTTGCTGCTGCAGTGGGCGCCCTCTTCACTCTGCTCTCGCCCTCCCCAGGCCAGACCACCCGGTCCTCCACGTCTCCTGGAACGACGCGGTCGCCTACTGCGCGTGGGCAGGGAAGCGGCTGCCCACGGAGGCTGAGTGGGAGTACAGCTGTCGAGGAGGCCTGCAAAACAGGTACTTGGGGGGTCTCATCTTGCCTCACCCTATGCTGACCTTTTTTTTCCAAAACTCTGTTGAACTCGATTTGGTTAGAAAGCTCATTGAAAACAACAGTTCTTTTTCTTACTTGTTTTTCTTCATCTCCAGGAATTTACTTAGGAGACAGTGGAGAATGAAAGGGTCGCTAACCCTTTATAGCCCCAAAGGCAAGTGTCTGGCTGAGTGGACTCCCTGCAGTCCCAAAGCAAGTTCTAGCAATTCAAGCTACCCTGTGTTACATGTTACTCCTTAGAACTTCTTGGCAGGCTGCCTTGCTTTCAGCATTTTCTTATTTCAGGCGTCTCCTGAAGCAGCGGTATTTCTCTGCTTCTAGAGCCATGAGGCAGAACACTCAAGCTCGGTTCACATCTTCTAGGAAAGGCTCCCTAAAATAGCCGAGGCTTTATAAAAAAGTGTGGTGTGATGGTGCCTGATCACGCTACCATATAAGTCCAAAATGATGTCTGCTTTCCCGGCTCTCGATAAGTCCTTCTTTTAGTTCTGTGATTTATTTCAGGCCTCCTGAGTACTTGGGAGAGACTGAGGTTGTTGTGAACTCAACACGAGCTGCTATAAGGAAAGTTTTCTAAAAATCCCAATGAAAACCTTGACTTTATATATATATATATTTTTGAGACAGAGTCTCGCTTTGTTGTCCAGGCTAGAGTGAGTGCCGTGGCGTCAGCCTCGCTCACAGCAACCTCCAACTCCTGGGCTCAGGCAATCCTCCTGCCTCAACCTCCCGAGTAGCTGGGACTACAGGCATGTGCCACCAGGCCCGGCTCATTTTTTCTATATATATTAGTTGGCCAATTAATTTCTTTCTATTTATAGTAGAGATGGGGTCTCACTCTTGCTCAGGCTGGTTTAGAACTCCTGACCTCGAGCAATCCGCCCGCCTTGGCCTCCCAGAGTGCTAGGATGACAGGCATGAGCCCCCGCGCCCGGCCTTGACTTTATATGTTTTAAAAGGCTCACTCAGAACAAGTGAGCAATGTCCTTTCATTCATCGCGTCCCTTCTGTTGACTTGAATCCAAAGCCTGTGCCTGTTTGACAGGCTGGTGCTGTGTCTCTTCCGACAGACTTTTCCCCTGGGGCAACAAACTGCAGCCGAAAGGCCAACATTATGCCAACATTTGGCAGGGCGAGTTTCCGGTGACCAACACTGGCGAGGATGGCTTCCGAGGAACTGCGCCCGTGAGTAGTGACGCTTGTGCAGAACTGCAGTGGCCACAGACGACTCAGGCCTGGTAGAAATGGGGTGGGAGGCATTGCTCACTCTGACTCACACATCGTCCCCTTCCTGTGTCCATCGACTGTCCCACGTGGCAAAAACAAACGCAGTTTTCTTTCTGACTTTATAATACTTACTGTAGGAAATTTGGAAAAACAAGAATGTAAAGGAGAAAGCTAAACTGACCTGGAATTCTACCGCTCAGAGATAACCACTGTTATCATTTCGGTGCCTTTCTTCCCATTTGTTCTCTGTGTTGATGGCTAGTAATGGCCAGGAGTGACCGAGGGCTTCAAGTGTGCCAGGCACAGTGCTAAGGCCTTTGCATGAATTTCTCACTTACTATCCATTCGACTCTGTAAGGCAGGTGCTATTATATCCCATTTTCCAGGCTAGCATTCTGAGGCACAGAGAGGTTAACTAACTTTCCCAACATTACACAGCTGGAAAGCGGCACAGCTGGGATTTGAACCAGGTCGGTTTGTTTCCAGAGCCCGTGCTCTTAACTATCGTATTTGCCAGCATATGTGTGTCTGGTGTATATGTATTATATTTTTCCCGTAATGGCATTTGGATCCCACTGGATACAGTGTTTAAAATTATACTGTTTTCCCCTGTTTGATATCAGGAACATTTTGTCATTAACAGTATGTCACAAATGCATTGTCTTTCAGCAGCTGGATAACCTGTCGCATGAATAAACCCTAATTTATTTACCTCTGATAGTTGCAAATTTAGATTAATTCTGGGTTGTTTGCTAAACGTACAGCAATGAACATCTTGTACATAAATATTAAGCTGTATCTCTGATGATCTTTATAAAGATAGATTCTCAGCAGTGAAAATTAATGAGTCAGAGTTTGGTAAGAGTTCCAGATACTTGGTCAGATTGTTCTATAGAATGCCTGTGGCATGTTTTTCTTTGTGGGTATTTGAGAGATCCTTTCTCACTTTTCTGGGCATGATCATATATACTAATGAAGCTATGTTAAAAACTGTCTTAGTCCTTTTGTGCTGCTGTTACAAAATATCACACCTCTGGGTAATTCATAAACAACAGAAATTTATTTCTAACAGTTCTGGGGGTTGGGAAGTCCAAGACCAAGGTGCCAGCAGGATTGGCGTTTGCCGTGTCCTCCAGAGGGGACTAACGCCTGTCCTCACGTGGCGGAAGGCAGAGGGGCAAGAGAGCCCTCCCTTTAACCTTTTCGTAAGGGAGCTAATTCTGTTCCTGAGGGTAGCGCCCTCGTGACTTAATCGCCCCTGAAAGACTACACCTCTTAATGCTGTTGCATTGGAGATTACGTTTCAACATGACTTTTGGAGGATACACCGTCATTCAAACCACAGCAAAAACATTTTTTTCTTAGAAAGGAAAGAAATCTTGCTGTGAAGAAATAGCCTGTTGCTGGGTTTGTTGTTACGGAAAATCATTTTCTTCCAATAATCCTTGAAAGAGTTGTCATTTAAAAAATAGTTGTCTTTTTGTTGCAGGCAAAAAGTAGTTCTTCCAAAATTTATTTATAAATGTAACACAAATATGTTATTTGGAACATGACCAAATGATTCCAACTGAATTTCAACTGAAAAACTAAGCGAATGAGAGAGAAAGACCAAGAAATTGTTGGAAAAGATGAAGAGCAGGGAGGCACCTGATTTACCAGAAATTAAAATTATTTTGAGCTATAGTACATGAAGCATTGTAGTTTTAGGGGCAGAATTGATATAACAAATAAATTGCATGAGACTATTTAGCCCTTAAGTATGAGTGCGTATGTGCATGTGTGTAAAATTTCATATATGTGAGTTAAAAATGATAAACTAGCATGAACCCACCACAGGAAGTGGATGCATTCTTCAGTAGAGGGAAAAGACTAATCAAACTATCGAGTATCTGGTTCCTCTGAAGTTTCTTTTAGGGTAGCTGTGCTCTTGCAGGTGCACAGTTTTATTTGGTAAAGTGGCTGATGAGAGATCTTGGGGAGTAAACGATCTCAACCTTTTCTCAAACTTTAAATGAGTAAGAGGTCCGGCTTGCTGGTGTGAATCTCGGCATGCAATAGGGTGTCCAGTGGGCCACTCTTGGTCAGCAGTAGTGGCACTGCAGCATGAACAGAATATCAGTTAAGCTGCTTGTGGATGTTCATCAGCCCCCAGGGAAGATCTTGGTTGTCACACACAGCAGGACGGTGGCCATTAAACACAGGATCTATTGAGGAGTATGTAACAGCTCACCTGCAGATGCCACTAACCATGAAAATGGGTGCCACTGGAGTGCTGGGCCCATACCTGGCCTTCTCTGGCAGTGGACACACGAGAGAGACTGGCAGGAGAAGGGCCTCAGCAGCCTGGACCCCCCTCCCAGATGCCAGTCTGTGACAAGCCAGGCAGCCACAGTAAAGCTTGGAGCCCAGGGTGTGGGCCTAGGTGGAGCTGTAGATGCAGGTCTTAGTTGTCATGGTAGCAAATATTCGAATGAGGGCTTTGAAGGCCAAAGTGCAGGAGGGTCCTTTGATCAGCAGTTGGACAGGATCAGTTGGTGATCCTGGAGATGGGTAATCTCCATTCCAAAGGGATGGGGTGATGGCCCCCATTGCCCTCATTTGGACAAGCCTGTTGTAACTATATCTGATGAACCAACAAATGATACAAGTGTCTGTCACTTTTAGTAAAAGGCCATGACAAGGTTGTCACGGGCATTTATGCATAGTTGACTGTGTTTGCTGCTACAAAATTTCCATCTCTACTTAATTGCATGAGCTGCTAAGAAAATAGAGCCATTTACTCTTCGCGAATCAGTGTACTTTTTCAGAATACATAAAATTCAGTATGAAATAAGGACACTCTACAGATGTTTAGAGTTGGAACATTTGACTGGGAGTTCAGCAGATGTCTGCAGAACTTACCTGAGCAAGTTGCCATGGAAGTTACTAAGACAGAATTAGAACAGTTGCCAGGAGCCCTGCAGGAACCAATTTGAGAAACAGGATGAGTGGAGAAAGCCAGCCAGCCAAAGAGGTGACTTCCTCCTGTATTTGGAATGGGACTTAATGAGAGAGACCTCTGTCTTTAAATTGAAACTGCTTGCACATACAATTTTCTTGAGTCCACCTGAGCTGCTCTGTTGTGTCCTTGTGCTCTGGTCAATTGAGAGCAGGACTGTAACATTCATGATGTGATTGGACTGCTGGGAAATAGCTCCTTCACCTGATATTTCATATATTTTATTGTTTCAGATCTGCCTTTATACCAAGCAAACTATTTTGACCACAGTGAGCCTGAAGAATTAAATTTGTACTTTGTTAGGCTACTGTCACAACAATTATTTGTTCTGGTTTTAATGCATATCAGCTCATTGACCTGAAAATAAGTGTGCCAGAAGTATTTCTCATGTACATGCCTCTGCTTTTGAGGTTCCTGAATGGAAGCTTTGGCTGGTGTGATTAGTTTAACAAGGAACAGTTAAAATTTTAATTTTCCTTAGTGGCATACTCATATACGATAATTTTGGGTGTGGTGACCTCCACATTTTACTTCATTTAAACAGCAGCTTATTTAAAGTAATTTTCAAAAACTGAAACCTTTGAGGAGGAACTATTGTTTTTCTCAGTTTATGAATTAACAGCACCCAAATATGTTAAATTGCTTACCTAACGTTAGCTAGGACCTCAGGCAGCCTGATTTGAGAGCACCACTGCCTGTTCCTTCTATAGCCTGAATAATTCCTCCTTCCTCTGGGATGTTTATTTCATCTCTTAATTGCTCTTGCTCCCCTGACTCCTTCCTTTTTGTCCCTGAAACAACTGAATTTCTTTTTTTTCTTCCTACTCCTGCAGCTTTATTCCACTCTCACCCTACTCACCCCGTTCTGCCTTTTAGAATTGTATTTTTATTAGTAGTTTTTGATATATTCTGCTTTTCTCCCTTCATTAAACTCGAGGCATAATTTGTCACTGAATCCCCTCTTGCCTTTAGTCACTATGCACGGAATTACTGAATGAACCAGTGAATAAGCGCTGCGGTGTCTGTAATGAATGCTGATTATGGAAGCTGAGTGGTAAAACTTTTCAGCGTTCCAACTCAGCCAGATTAAGAGCCTTTCAGAATAGCTTCCTAACTCCGATCGAAACGCTCTGAGCCGACTGAGCCTCGGATGCTTCTGCGTTCGTGTACATGCAAAACCATCTGAAGCCACACAGAAATGAGTTTTAGTGTATCCATTCCTTCAGTCCTACTTCGTTAGTATGGAAAAAGCATGAATTTACAAAAAGATTAAAAACTCCAAGGATAACTTGATTTTTTTCTTTTTTCATTTAAAAAACTGAAACTTCTGTTTTTGTTTGAGAATTTCCATTAAAGAAAGGTTGGGAAGAATTTTAAGTCACTAAGCTAGCAAAGTTGTTCTTCACTTACTATTGTCTAGGTAAGTTTTTTTTCTTGCCTACACCCCCCCCCCCTTTTTATAAAAACTCTATGCTCTGGTTCTGTGCCTGTGCCAATATCCTGGGGCAGACTGTCTGGCCGGCCTTGGAAATGTGGCTTAATTCCTTGCTGAAGAACATGGACAGTTCACCTGACACTCTCAGATTCCAGAGACTGCAGACCCTCTATTACTAATACACTTGATAAGTAATTCACGTCTTCTCTATAAAAACAAATACTGTCAGTGTTTTGAGGATGATGACGGAGGCTGAAGGCTCAGATGGTGAGTTGGAGGGAGCTGGTGGACAGGGCACAGCTGCCTTGGGGTCTCTCAGTGCTGAAAGACATCGTGTGGCCAGCAGAGCTAAGTCTGGATGACAGCACTCATATTGGGTCCAATATGATGCTCTTTTTAATGATTTTGAAAGTCTGAATTTCATCTCTTCTCCCACCCACCCCCGCCCCATACCCACTGTCCAATGCAAACTTGATTTATGGTCAACATTGGTCACTCCATTAGGAATAATTTTGCGGGCTTCATACCATTTCATATTAACTCTCCTTAGGTTTCTAAATTCTCCTTGAGAGCTCAAAGCTAAAAAAATGCCTCTTTGTTTTTACATTGGACAAACTGTATTTTGAATATTGGAATGAAGGCCGGGCGTGGTGGGGTCACACCTATAATCCTAGTACTCTGAGAGGCCAAGGTGGGAGGATCACCCAAGGTCAGTAGTTTGAGACCAGCCTGAGCAAGAGTGAGACCCCGTCTCTACTAAAAATAGAAGGAAATTAATTGGCCAACTAAAAATATAGAGAAAAAATTAGCGGAGCATGGTGGCACACGCCTGTAGTCCCAGCTACTCGGGAGGCTGAGACAGAAGGATCACTTTAGCCTAGGAGTTAGAGGTTGCTGTGAGCTAGGCTGATGCCACGGCACTCTAGCCCGGGCAACAGTGTGAGACTCTGTCTCAAAAAAAAAAAAGAATATTGGAATGAAAATTGAAGTTCATATTCTAAAGTGAAAGCTGTTGATGCATTTCCGTGCCAAAGAGATTTTCTAAACAAGGTGAATAGTTTGGCAGCATTTTTCTCTACTTCATTTTTAGGTTGATGCCTTTCCTCCCAATGGTTACGGCTTGTACAACATAGTGGGGAACGCGTGGGAGTGGACTTCAGACTGGTGGACGGTTCATCATTCTGCCGAAGAAACGCTTAACCCTGTGAGTGTCACCTCAGGGCAGGTACCCTAAGACCCGCCCTCCGGGCAGTCTGCAGCAAGAATTTCCTGTGTTTCTGAGGGGTGTTTACATATTCTTGCCATTGATCTTGGAATTTCCCCACAGGGACGTTAAGCATCTGTCTCTCTGATTTCAAACTTAGAGCATTTCGTTAAATTGTCTATGAGCATTTTATGTTCTGCTGTATTGTCATGAGCATGTTATGTTCTGCTGTATTGTCAACTATTTGAGGGGATCTGCCCGTAACTTTAGAAATTGTATTTAATTCGATACATTTGATCAAAGTGTGGATATACAAATAACTATGCAAAATTCGTTAATGTGTTATTCTTACCTGTGAAGATCTGCTGGATGGGTATGTATCATGCAGCCCCTTTCCTGAGTTTTGGTGGGTTGAAATTTTGATTCAGTACATCATCTGGAGAAACCAAGAAAGGGGTACTTTCCGGCTAAGTGTCGAATCAGGAAGTTGAGTCATTTAGTGATTAATTCCTGAACCTCTTAGTATGTGAGGCCAGTGTATCATATACCTTGGGAACAGAAGACAACTGTGTTTGTCTAAGTTTTACTGTTCTGGTATGTGAAAAATGTTGAGTGCAAATAATATACTACCCTGCCTCTAAAACCAAACTCTCCCAGTGGAATATACAAAAATTGAGATGCTACATGGGCATGTGTGTGCAAAGTGGTTCCTTTAAAAAAGAGCATCTCTGAATATTTTGTTGTGTGAACAGATTGGGGGGAAAATATCATGAAAAATCCCATCTCCAGCAAAGCAGTCATTCATAATTCAGTTCCAAGGATGTATATTTATACCCAAACTAGCTAGACTGAGAACTTGATAATGCTTAATTTTAGACCTTAACCTTTTGAAAAAGCACAAAGGATAATGATAAAGAAAATTAATTATTCACTATCTTCTCAGTATAGGGTTAAACAGAGTATTTGAAGAAATAATAATCAGATTGTGCTTCAGGCCATTTTTCAGAATATGGGAATACATTTTTGTTTGCTATGCTTAATTTTTCTTCGCGTTTCTGCGCATGAATGATCTAGAGACAGAGATCCACTTTTCTGAGTGCAGATGAAAAAGCTGAGTTCTTCAGAAACTGTCACCCTCTTCATGTTTCCTTTCGTTCTCTAGCAGGGCTGGTGGGGGTGTAGTGGTCAATGACAACCTCTCTCTAAAATGAGAATAGGATTGTAAAATCCTAGGTGGGTTCGTGCTTGGGAGATGCAAAGTGTGACTTGGCATTTGCTGTCAGAATCAGAAATAGAATTTTTCCCTCCTGGATAAAAGCATCTGCCTGTGTGAGAGGGGGAGCACAAGGCTCCACAATTCTGGCAAGTTGTGAATGTATCTCTCTGACCATCTGGTGTCGAGCTGAGTGCTTGTTAGCTTTCAGTTTTATAACTATTTGTGTTTCTTCTAAGGATTTACGGAAAAATTCAAATTTTTTCTTTTCACCAATCCTGGGCTCTATCCTGGATGGTGCTCTTGCTCTAATGAAGTTGTTTGCGTTTTAGGCTTTTCTTTGCTACAGTGGCCTCGTTTGCTTCCTAAGTTGACTGGGATAGAATTTCACAAGTTTTGAACGAAACCCCAAATCCTTCGAAAACTCTCACTCCATCGTTCAGATCTTTGCAACTTTTCTTCATGGCCAGCACATTGCTGATGGACAAGCCAGTGTCGTCCCTCATCTGGGTTACTGCATCAGCCCCCCGGTTAGACTCCTTGCTTTTATTCTCTTTGCTATGTTGCAACTAGAATGATCTTTATAGAGAACAAATCTAATGGTGTAACTCCCCTGTTTAAAATCCTTAAATGGCTTCTTGTTGTCCCAAGAATAAGGTTTAGATTCTTTTGTTTTTTGAAACTGGGTCTTACTCTGTCACCCAGGCTGGAGTGCAGTGGTGCAATCAGAGCTCACTGTAGCCTCAAATTTGTAGGCTCAAATAATCCTCTGCCTCAGCCTCCTTGAGTAGCTGGGACTACAGGTGTGCACCACCGTGCCTGGCTAATTTTTTTTAAAAATTATTTTTGTAGAGATGGTGGTCTGCTGTGTTGCCCAGGCTGGTCTTGAACTCCTTGCCTAAAGCAGTCCTCCTGCCTTGGTCTCCCTGAGTGCTGGGGTTCCATGTGTGTACCCCTATACCCGGCTCCAAATTCTTGAACATGACTTCTGAAAGCTAAAATAGTTTAGCCCGTGCTGATCTCTCTAGCCACACCTTTATCTTCTTTTTTAAACATTTAATTATGAAATGCTATAAAAATTAAGAGGAGTATAGAAAACAGTATAATATATAACTGTGTGCCTACCACATAGATTTAACGTGTGTTAATGGTTTACTATATTTACCTCTCTTTTAGCCAAAGAAAAAGAACAAAGACTATTCTTTCATCAGCATTTGGTATTGTCAGTGTTTTCCATTTAAGCCACTCTGGTCAGTGTGTAGTGCTGTTTCACTGTGATTTTTAGTCATCATTTGTTAAAGGTTGTATCCGACAACTCTAATATCTGGCCACCATGTTAATCTGCTTCTGTTGTTCTTGGTTTTTGGTCACATCTTTTTCTTTTTCACATTCCTGGTTAGTTTTGATTGAGTACCAGACATTGTGTGTGAGAAACTGTAGAGGTTATTTGATATCTAGATAGTGTGATGTTTCTCTGGAGAGGATTTACCTTTGCTTCTGGAAACTTCTACTTCAGATTAGCTTAATCCAGGGAGTAATTGAGATGATTTGAAGTAGAGCTGCAGTTCCTGTGAGGGCCAGTCTATGTCGAATTCGCCCTGGGTATAGTTCTTTAGGGTGCCAACCAAAAGTGTGGGGTGGGTGGGTTCTCCTCCTTAAGGGCTTTGAACTCCAATGTTTTGTTTCCTTAGGCCTTGAGTCTACTGACAGTTCTACTCAGCTTCTCAGCCTTATAGCTGCTGCCATTTAAAGGACAGATCTTGGCCGGGCTCGGTGGCTCACGCCTGTAATCCTAACACTCTGGGAGGCCGAGGTGGGCAGATTGCTTGAGGTCAGGAGTTCGAAACCAGCCTGAGCAAGAGTGAGACCCCGTCTCTGCTATAAAAAATGGAAAGAAATTAATTGGCCAACTAAAAATATATAGAAAAAATTAGCTGGGCATGGTGGCGCATGCCTGTAGTCCCAGCTACTCGGGAGCCTGAGGCAGGAATAAAATAAATAATAAATAAAAAGAAATAAAGGACAGATCTCTGGGGAAAACAGTTTCACCTCTCTGGGCTTCCCTTCTTTCTGGGGCTTGAGCCCTACAATTCTTCACGGCTGTGGTAGTTCTCATCTGGTCTGGTTAATTCCTATTTCTCTGAGATCTTAATTTGTTTGCTTTTCTTCCCTAATGTCCTTTTCTCTCTGCTTAGCAAAAAACCTGGTCTATGATTGTTGATCCTACAATAATGCCAATTCCACATCCCTAGAAATGGGGGAGTTGGATCGCTGTCCAAACTCCAGGTGTTTCGAAAGCAAATGGTGGTCAGAAGCAGCCACACTCAAGGAAAGTTTTGAACCGAGATATCAATGTGCTTAGTAAACACTTCAACCCAGGAACTGACCTGTTCAGCGTCATGCGTTTATGTTAGCTCCCTGACTTGCTCACGGTGGCAAATAATTTAAAAGCTTCTCTGAGAGCTTGGGAAGAGTCAGTGCCCTGTCTGCAAAGGTCGTTCAGGAAGTATCTTTTTCTTATTCAGTGACTTCCAGGGAGCAAAAGTTAATCATTAGTTTTTATTTTATTGGGCAGTCATTTATGGCAAAGGCAGGTTGCAGAAACTGCCTGGTGTGCTTTGTACACAGAGATCTAAGAGAAGATGAGATATTTGGCCATAGGAAGCGAGCATTAGTTTGGTGTTAGCTGTTTGTGTGTGTGTGTGTGTGTGCGTGTGCGTGTGTCTTCTGGAGGTGCCACATTAAGATGGCATCCTTCCCTTCCACTTCGACATGGTCCAGCATATGGCCATTGCTGTGATATATATATATATATATATTTTTTTTTTGAAACAGAGTCTCGCTTTGTTGCCCAGGCTAGAGTGAGTGCCATGGCGTCAGCCTAGCTCACAGCAACCTCAAACTCTTGGGCTCAAGCGATCCTCCTGCCTCAGCCTCCCGAGTAGCTGGGACTACAGTCATGCACCACCATGCCCGGCTCATTTTTTCTATATATATTAGTTGGCCAATTAATTTCTTTCTATTTATAGTAGAGATGGGGTCTTGCTCTTGCTCAGGCTGGTTTTGAACTCCTAACCTTGAGCAATCCACCTGCCTCGGCCTCCCAGAGAGCTAGGATTACAGGCGTGAGCCACTGCGCCCGGCCAGTATGCAGTACTTTCAATTAAAAACAAATGTAGATCTTATGTGACATTCTGATTTCCCACATCTGCATACTCACCATCAGCACCGAGGTATTGTGCTGACTTGCCCAGTTGATGGTCTGATAGGATGGGGTGATCTATAGTATCTGTTCTACTCTAAGAGGGACATAATCACATTTAGGCAGCTTTTTTTCCTAAGCGGAAGAACTCTTGTCTTGGAATTAGCTAAAGTAACTTGGATAATAGCTCTGCCACTTAATACTGAAGGAATATTTCTTTCTTTCTTTTCTTTTTTTTTTTTTAAGACAGAGCCTCACTCTGTTGCCCGGGCTAGAGTGCCATGGCGTCAGCCTAGCTCACAGCAACCTCCAATTCCTGGGCTCAGGTGATCCTTCTGCCTCAGCCTCCCAAGTAGCTGGGACTATAGGCATGTGCCACCATGCCCGGCTAATTTTTTCCATATATTTTTAGTTGGCCAATTAATTTCTTTCTATTTTTAGTAGATATGAGGTCTTGCTCTTGCTCAGGCTGGTTTCAAACTCTTGACCTTGAGCGATTCTCCCGCCTCGGCCTCCCAGAGTCCTAGGATTACAGGCATGGGCTACCTTGCACCTGGCCATGAAGGAATATTTCCAAACTTAGAA